TTTTCCAAGGTAACTGCAAATAGAAAGCATGAAAGGTCAAAAGTCACAAGAACTGATACTAAGTTTGGATTTACAGGCACAAATGTTTCTGTCATCATCGGGGTTGATCTGAGGCTGACTGGACACCAGCTTTTTCCAACCTCTCTCCTAACAAACAGTATAGCATATTGTCGGGGTCGCAAAGGTTAGTCAGATATCTGAATCCTGGTTCCACTACTGTACTTGTTATTGGCTGTAAGCCTTTGCTCAAGTTTTGAACCTCATCCTGACCCAGTTTCTTTTTGTACACAGTATAAGGAGGATATAGCCAGGTATGGTGGTGCACACCTGTAATCCCAGCACTTGGGAGCCTGACACAGGAGGATCACCATGAGTTTAAGGCCAGCCTGGGCTACATACTGAGTTCAAGGCCCACCTAAGCTACATAGCAAGACCTTGTCTCAAAAAAAAAAAAAGAAAAAAGGTAAAATACTTTATGGGATTAATAACTGAGCTTTTTAAATGCACGTATACTGTTTTAACACAGATAGTCAATAAATGGTACCCATTACTTTTACTATTGCTGCTTCACCTCGGAACATATTCACTTTTTATTCAAGTCAGTATTAGAGCATTTCATTTTTTTCTCTTCTTTTCTCTTTCCTTTTTGAGGCAGGGTCTCAGTATGCAGTTCAGGCTGGCCTTGGACTATGTAGCCCAAGCGGGCTTCAAACTTGCAGCAATCCTCCTGCCTCTGCCTTCCAAGTGCTGGGATTACAGGACTGCGCCACCACACCCGGCTTAAAAGCATTACTGAATGGGAAGTCAGACCTGGATTCCAACAAAGTTCTTTCTATGACCTTTGACCAATTCTTTCCCTGGACCTCGGTTTCTCCATCATGTGTAAAACACAGGCGTGACGCCCATTGGGAGGGTGCACCCTTTGGTACAGGTAAACCAGGCTAAGATCCCTGACGACTCTAAAGCCTAAGGGAAGCGGGGCGTGGTAAGGCACACCAGTAAACCTGAGGCAGGATCACCAGGAGTTCCAGGCCAGCCTGGACTACAGTGAGTCCCTGTCTAATACACACACACAAATAGCCCCATGACAATAAGCCAGGGTTTCCTACAGATAGGAACCTTATCTCCCCAGATAGGTAGATCTGAATCCTGATTCTTTTCCTTGACCTTAAGGAGCCCCACACATACACCATACTTTTCCAGTTTGCAAACCAGCAAGATGCAAGCTACTCCCCTTCCAGCAGGGCTCCGGGCCGGCGGGTGCGCTCTGACCCAGTGTCTCCACTCGTCCGCCGCCCGATCCTGGCCGCCCACCGCCCGCCCCTTCTCTGTTCCGTTCAAGTGCTTTGAGTCAACGAGTTCTGCGTTGTTCTATCAGCCAAGCTAACTGCCGGCGCCCGACTCCGCAAGCTTGCGGAGGGTGAGGGTCCCGCAGGAACGACGTCTAGCGACCCCGGCGCGCACAAGCAGCCAGCGCAGGCCCCACCCCTTTCCGATTCCCACTCCCGGGCCGGCCTCAAATCACACCCCTGCGCGGCACTCTCGTGAGACCCGTGACTTGCCCCGGAAGACCCGCCCCCTCTGCCGTAAAGACCAATGAGCGAGGGCAACGGTTGCGACGGTTGGGTTTTGAAGGAGCCAATAAGCGCTCAGAGCGGACAGTTTAAGCGTCCCAGGCTTGTCATGCTCAGGCAGGTCGGGATTGAAACCTGCTTGGGCGCATACTGTGAGGACCGCTGTGCTGAGCCCGGGGGTCCGTCGGGGTTGGGTGCTGCAGCCGAGTGGCCCCTGACTGAGCCCGTTCTGGAAGGAGCCCTGCGCCGTCCCCGAGCACGGTGGTCTCTCCGTCCAGGGTTCAGGAAGCAACGACTCCAAGGACCCCGACCTCCCTCCAGACGCTCTCATGGCGCAGTTCGTGTTCGAGAGTGACCTGCATTCCCTGCTTCAGCTGGATGCGCCCATCCCCAATGCGCCCCTCGCGCGCTGGCAGCGCAAAGCCAAGGAAGCTTCGGGGCCGGGCCCCTCCCCTATGCGCGCCGCCAACAGGTCCCACAGCGCGGGCAGGACCCCGGGCCGAACTCCGGGTGAGTGGGGGCGGCGGCACGAGGAGCGGGAAGACAGAGCAGCCTTCGTGCCTCCTCCCTCGGGAACCTGGTCAGACTGGCTTCTCTCTCCTTGTCCCAGGCAAGTCTAATTCCAAGGTTCAGACCACCCCTAGCAAACCTGGAGGTGACCGATATATCCCCCATCGCAGTGCTTCCCAGATGGAGGTGGCCAGCTTCCTCCTGAGCAAGGAGAATCAGCCCGAAAACAGCCAGACACCCACCAAGAAGGTATGTTCCCCAGAGGGGCGAAAGGCACGAGGACCTGTGTGTGAATGCCAGCCCGCTCACCATTACCTGTGTATGACAGGAGCATCAGAAAGCCTGGGCTTTGAACCTAAATGGTTTTGACGTGGAGGAAGCCAAGATCCTTCGGCTCAGCGGAAAACCACAGAATGCCCCAGAAGGTAAGACCTGGAGTTATTGGAGGTTTGTGTCTGTCCATCTCTGGGATGGACATGCCCACACCAGCCTCTCTCCCCCTGAGGGAGACGCCTGTCTGTTCTTCCCCCGCAAGGCAGAGGGGAAGGGGAGGTGTCAGTTTTCCTAAGATCTAGATCCATTCCATTCTGCAGGCTACCAGAACAGACTGAAAGTGCTGTACAGCCAGAAGGCCACGCCTGGCTCCAGTCGAAAGACCTGCCGTTACATTCCTTCCCTACCGGACCGGATCCTGGATGCCCCTGAAATCCGAAATGACTATTGTTAGTGCTGCTTTATTCTTGCCCATGGTTGGCGAAAGAGGGGCTGGGAACCAGGCAAACAAAGAAGCTCATGCTCTTCCCTTTCTGCACAGACTTAAACCTTGTGGATTGGAGCTCTGGGAATGTACTAGCTGTGGCGCTGGACAACAGTGTGTACTTGTGGAGTGCAAGCTCTGGTGACATCCTGCAGCTGTTGCAAATGGAGCAGCCTGGGGACTATGTATCCTCTGTGGCCTGGATCAAAGAGGGCAACTACTTGGCTGTGGGCACTAGCAGTGCTGAGGTGCAGGTGAGACTGAACCCAGGACTGCCACTCTAATGACCCCAGACCCAGGGGGCTTGCCCGGTTTGAGGATGTTAATGCCAAGGCCCAGTCTCTAATCTTAGTGATCTTCTCTCTCCAGCTGTGGGATGTTCAACAGCAGAAACGGCTCCGAAACATGACCAGTCACTCTGCAAGAGTGAGCTCTCTAAGTTGGAATAGCTATATCCTGTCCAGGTCAGTGAGTTTTGTTAGTCTTATGGCAAAATAAGTCTAATTTCTGTATACCTCGGCCCCTGAATATACACCTAAAGTGAAGCAGCTCTGACTTGCATAGATTTGGTGCTGCCACAAAATTAAATCTCTTCTTCCCTCCCCCAGTGGCTCACGCTCTGGCCATATCCACCACCATGATGTTCGGGTAGCAGATCACCATGTGGCCACACTGAGTGGCCACAGCCAGGAAGTGTGTGGGCTGCGCTGGGCCCCAGATGGACGACATTTGGCCAGTGGTGGCAACGATAACTTGGTCAATGTGTGGCCTAGTTCTCCTGGAGAGAGTGGCTGGGTTCCGCTGCAAACATTCACCCAGCATCAAGGCGCTGTCAAGGTAACAGAGGGCTTGGGTTGAGGCCTTTGCAGACCCTCAGCTATAACCTGGAGAATATCAAGAAAAAGTGGGATAGTGAGATTAGACTAGATTTGTCTATGATCTATAGCTCCTTGTCTGACTTGAGTATCTTCTGACCCTGCCTTTATCCCTCCTAGGCTGTAGCGTGGTGTCCTTGGCAGTCGAATATCCTGGCAACAGGGGGAGGCACCAGTGACCGACACATTCGTATCTGGAATGTCTGCTCTGGGGCCTGCCTGAGTGCTGTGGATGCCCATTCCCAGGTAATCTTTTACCTATTTCAGCCTCTCACTCCAGATGTGTTGTTACTGTTTGTGGTCTTCCTGGGCAACAGTGTCCAAACTAGTGTATCCACCAACCCCCAACTTTTGGCTCGGCTCTCATTCCTGAGCTCTATTTCCAAGTCTGGCTTATATCCTACCTTACGTCCTCTAGCCACTGCCCCTCCATGTCTTACATTAAACTTGTCACTTCCCCTGCCTCCCTGAAATTTGTTTCTCTCCCTCTTCTGCCTCCATTTTTATTGCTTCAGAATGGCAGAACCTGCTAGGAAATCTAAAAAGCCTCCTAGAATCTTATCTTTCCCACGAGGATCTATCTCATCTACCCTAGAATATCATTCACATCTGTCCCATCCCCTTTGCCTCATCTTCCCAAGGACGGCCCACAACAGTCTTCCTCACTGATCTTTCAGGATCTCTCTCTTCCATTCTGTCCTGTACTCTGGTCTGAGTGGTTAGTACTGTGCCCCTTAAACCTTTAATGGTTTCTCATCACCTACAGTGTATAATTTAAGTCCATTAGAAAGATATTTGAGGCTCTTGCTGATGAGCCTCCCTCCAGTTGCTCCATCTTCCTCTCCTCTAATTTCCCCCACATGAGGCCTTCCCTCTAGAGGTAAGCTGTAGGGCCAGATGACCTCCCTTCAAATTCTGTCACCTACTAATTTGCATGTAGTTTAGGCAATTTATTGAACTTCCTTCTGATTAATCTGTAAAATGAATTAAAGGGTTTCTTAAAGGGTTTTTATAAGCATTCTAACACTCAAGTCTGAGTCTAATGCCTAACACTAGAATGGACTCAGTTCTGATTCGAGCACCCCTGGATGCATGTCATGCCCACACCAGCCTCTCTCCACAGGTATGCTCCATCCTCTGGTCTCCGCACTACAAGGAGCTCATCTCAGGCCATGGCTTTGCCCAGAACCAGCTGGTTATTTGGAAGTACCCAACCATGGCCAAGGTGGCTGAGCTCAAAGGTAGGTGGCTAAATGAAAGAGGCCAGACATAAAAGGCCACATATATAACTCTCTGTATACGAAATGTCAAGAATAGATAAATACAGGGAGACAAATTAGTATTTGTCAAGGGCTGAGCGGACAGCGTAATGGGAAGTGATAAAAAATGTTTTTGGATTAGATAGTTGTAATGGTTGCACACCTTTACACATACACTGAAAACCACTGAATTGTACTTTTCAAAGGGATTAATTTTATGGTATGTGAATTATATTTCAATCACAATCAGAAAGCTGTAGGTGTGTGCGCATTCGTATGCACTGCTCTCACTCTCCCCAGGTCACACAGCCCGGGTCTTGAATCTGACCATGAGTCCAGATGGGGCCACAGTGGCCTCAGCAGCAGCGGATGAGACCCTGCGGCTATGGCGCTGCTTTGAATTGGACCCTGCACGGCGGCGGGAGCGGGAAAAGGCCAGTGCAGCTAAAAGCAGCCTTATCCACCAAGGCATTCGTTGAAGATAAACCCATCACCTCAGTTGTTTTTTATTTTTCTAATAAAGTCATGTCTCCCTTTCTTCTCCTTGCATGGCCTGTGTCCCAGCAGCCTTCTCAGGGGCGCCTCTCTGCTGTGATCAGAGAACTTCTTGTTGTTGTTTTGTTGCTTTTGAGACAGGATCTCACCATGTATTCCAGGCTGGCCTTGAACTTGCTATGTAGCCAAGGGTGGCCTCAAACTCAAGGTGATTCTCCTGTCTCAGCCTTCCAAGTGCTGGGATTACAGGCATGCGCCACCACGCCTGGCTCAGAGAACTTCTTAACAATATCTTAAGGAGACATCGCCATCCCTCCTGTTTACAGACAGGACTAAAGCAGGTTGTGTGCCTGGGTCCTCCCCTCCACTCACACATGTACATACACAGTCGCAGTAGTTTCCTCTGTCACTTTAATTAAGATACAAGTGAATGAGTACACAGCCTCTCCAGCTTGCATTCCCAGGCCACCCACCCTTGATCTTTGGCCCAGAAGCTTCTCTGCTTCTTGTGGAGTGGAGGAGGGAGAGGGAGCCTTGGTCCATAGTGACAGATTATTGCTGACCTCTTCAGTGTGAGGAAAAAGGCCACAAGACCCTGGTGGGGACCAGCCCTGAGTGTTTCTTTCCCAAGTTTCAGGCAGGGAGACGAAAGTAAGTGTCCAGCCCTTTCAGCCTCCAGTTCTGGAGTGGCAGAGGGTAACGAGGCCACACCCCCAGAGCTGGCTGGCAGAAGTGGAACGGAAGCAGTGGTCCCTGTAGACCAGCTGTGAGGAGGGTGAGTCCCCTGCTCAGTCCTGACCACAGACGCCCTGGTCACAGGTGTAGTGGAGAGGACATTGATGGATGCTGCCCGAGGTGCAGTCCTGAGGCACTTAGGTGGGCGCCTAGCTAGGCCATGCTTCTCAGTTGGCCTTGACCTTGGTGATACCTGAAGCACCATTTTGCTGAAGTACACGGGGCAGCCGCTTGCCTTTGGTGTAAGACTGATACCAGAAGTTGGAGAACAGCACAAAGAAGATGGTGCCATACATCCAGATGAGGTGGATGATGATTGGGTACTGGTAGCCGCAGCTGGGCATGAAGTAGTACTGGCTGATATGCAGTGAGACCAGGACAAACTGGATCTAGGATAAAGAAAGGCAAGGATCAGGAGAGATGAAGACTTGGAAATGGGGAGATGAGGAATTGGAGAGAGGGAGGGGATAGAGAGAGACCAACAATGAGTGGGGAGGGGTGGGATCAAAGGTGAGATGGTTGGATAAAGACAGAATCCCAACCAGGAGTGTCAGAGGGGGTGGGTGTAGGCCAGCAGGCCGCTCACCAGCTGAATGGCTGTCATGTGCTTTTTCCACCAAAGGTAGGGCTGAGCCACAGGCCCGAGGGCAGACAATCCATAGTACAGGTACATGACAACATGCACAGAGGAGTTTATCATGGCATGGAAAGAGCCCATTCCTCCTGTGAGAGGACAGTAAAACAGGGTCAGGAGAATCGAGACTCACTCATGAGTCTTCCCCAATGGCCTTTAGCACTCACCTGGGGCAAAATTTACCCCCCACCACCAGCTCCAGGGAAGCACTGAGTGATGGAAGACATGTAGGAAAGTCACCTGCCCATCTTTCTTTCGGAGAATAAAGATCACCTGAGAGAAGAGTGGGGAACGGTTCAGAGGCAAAGACCTTTCCTCCACTCTCAAATTCTCATATCTCCTAAATCTACTTACTGTGTCCATCAGCTCAATGAATTTGGAAAGGAGGAAAAGCCAGGCTACTCGAACCATCTGTAAGAAGTTAGGGCAGCCTTAGGACCCCACATACTGCTCCAAGAGCCTTCCTAAACTGGGCCATAAGCACAGATCATACCCAAAATGCCCCCATCCACCCAGGTTGCCTAAGACCTAGCCCCAGCCCCTACTTACTCTAAGTGCCTCTGGGCTGTTGGAATAGTCCACTGGGTCACAGCGCCAGGTGTAGGTACTCAGCCAGCCAGACATCAGGAACTAGGAAGCAGTGCATGAATCAAACCACCAGAGTTCCCCTCTCGAAGCATCCCTCCCCTTCTCTAGCCAAAGAAATGGAAGAAATGGATCTGAACCTCTCCAGAAAGGAGAGAATGCCAGGCTCTGGCCCAACCCCACCACCCTTATCGTGCTGGCAGGAATTACAACCTAGGGATCATAGCCCACCTCGTAGACAATGTAGAGGGACAGTGCCACCAGGGAGAAGTTGTAAACAATCATGAAGCCTCGGAGTTGGAAGGGCTTCCGATTAGCCATGATTCGAGGTCCAAGGGAGAGGACGAAGTACACGTAGGTTAGGAGGATGGAAGTCATTAGCAGGGGGGACCCCATCAAAGGGTAGCTCTGGACCCGAGGATCTGTGAATAAGTGTCAAAGGAGTCAAGAAAGGTCACAGGGCTCAACAGGGGCTCACCAGGTCTGCAGATATGAGGGGTCCATAGGGGCTCTCCCCATAGGACACAGCCCTAGATCCAGGGATCCCAGGAAAGAAGGGAAGGAAGGGCTGGTGGACAGCATCTTACCTGCATACTTCATCATCTCCTGGTACAAGCTGACGACAGCCTCCATCCTGGCTAAGGACTCTGCGGAACATGGAGGGTGGACATGAGACAGGGTGCACTGCACAACCCCGTCCAACACCTGACTCACAGGGACAAGACACACAACCGGACAACTCCGATGCCACACTGAGAAAGGGCAGAAGCACAAAGGAAGGAAGGAACTGGTGGAATCTCAGGGAGGAGGCAGCCTGGCAGGGGGACCTACACCCATGGAACTTGCCTCCCATACCACCCTTGCTCTCCAAGCCTCACTTTCTCCTCTATTCCTCTCCAGAGTTTTACTTCCTGTCTTTCCTTCTTACTCCGTGACAGAACTCTCAATTCCTGGTTTCTTTCCAGAGCCTTCCCAGCTCACCAGCATAGAACTCATTTCCAGAATGAACCTCCACACCCTTCCTTACCAAGTCTCACCCCCACCCTCCAGCTCAGAGCAGTCCTTCTCTCCTGGGAGTCCTCCCTTCAATCCATCCTCCCCTGCCAGGACTCTCATCTCCCGGATCCTTTCTGGAACCTCACCGACCCAGCGTTCTTCCCCTGCCAAACGCTCCTGTCCCTAGGTCTCCCCTCCACCTTCCAGGACTCTCACCTCCAGCCTCCTCTCCTCTCCTGTCGCAGAGCCCTTCCTCTGCTCTAAGAGCCAGGCTCTTAGAGACTCCTGCCCTAGTGGCTCCACCTGTCTGACTAGATCTGGCAGCAGCCCCGCCCTCTTCCCCGCCCCTGCCCCCTCTGTATTGGGTATGGGGTGGAGGGTGGGTCCAGGCCACAGGTCAGTGCATAGAGAAGCAGGACCTACCAAGATTGGGAAAGCCCAGTAAAGCCCCACATGCACCACCCACATCCCTGGATCAGCTATATGAACTAAGATCCTTGATTCCCCAGTAACCTTCCTCAGACTGGCCCCAGCGATGGTCCAAGGAAATGCCAAAAATTCACATCTAGCATCCATTCCTGAGCAGACACGAATTCTGTCTGTCCTACTTCAGAATAGCTACAAGCACCTTTTCTTCCCAGGAAGGGGCAAGGAAGCCAGTGGCAAGTGAGGAGGTGCAAAGTGGGGGAGGTCTCAGTAATTTCCTAATGGGCTAGGCCCTCTCTCCCACAGTCAGTAGGAGGGTCAGGGAGGGCTCACTGGGACATAAAAATCTCTGCCTACACCTAGGAGAGCTTGAGACTCTGACCCTGTCCAAGAGGGGACTCCAGGCAATCGCCCCACAGCAGGGGCGACAGGTGCTCTCAGTCCCTTCCAAGGAAACAACCTGTACTGTGCACCTTCTGACATGTCCAGCAGAGGCTGCTCATGCCCTCAGGCACTCATATCCCAAGGGCTCCCTCACACCTCATCATCCCACCCTTCAGATGCACCACAACAATGCCCCAAGCCCTGCCGCAGACACACACACCAGCACACTTGCACATACGTGTCTGTCACACCGCTCTGGACCCAACAACGCATGCACCACACTAAGGGCTAGCACACATCCACACACTTCTGCTGGCTTGCCGAGCCTGACACACCACCCAAACTGACCTCCATGGATTCCGACATGCACGCTTCCCAAACTTTATGAAAGGCTTGGGACTGCACTCACACAGGTCCTGCGGGACTCTGTGCAAACCCATAGTGCTCTCATGCTCAGGCCCACACCTGCTGAAGTTACGCATCCAGGTTACTCACAGGTGTGAGCCACCAAGAGCGAGAACATCTGATCACTCACACCAGAAACAGGTTCGCATCTCCCTCGGTCACACACGGTCCTCTTTTGGCGGGTGACTGCTCGTTTCTTGTTGGCAGTAGGGCCTAGCGCTTAGGCGTGAACACACAGTTCCCCTGCCACACGTGAGCTAGCTCCTTATCTCTCTCAACCACTACCCCCAAGTTCACCCCACAGGCACACAGGCACCCTGGAGGTCAGGAGCGACTCGAGGCTTGGGGGAAAAACTGATCCCCAAGGTCGAGGAAGTCCGGGTGTGTCCCCCACGGGGGTGCTCAGCCGGTTTCTTCCTTTTTAAAATGGATGGAAGGGAAAAGGACACCGGCAAAGGAAAGGGAAGGGGAAGGGAGGAGAGAGGAGAGGATGGACAGGGGCAGGGAGAGCGGGTGGTGGAGAAAGGCCTCGTTGAGAGCAAGCGGAGGTGGCGGGGGTAGGGGTTGGCAAGGCCAGGCCCCAGGAACTGGGACCTCCCACCCACTCGCCCCCGAACAGCCTCGCCCACTGCCTGCGATGGGCTGGGCAGGGCAGGGCAGGGCAGGGCAGGGTAGGGCAGGGCGGGCAGGGCCTGCCGGGCCAGCTAGGCAGGGGGCGCCGGCACGTGGGGAGCCGTGGAAGAGCCACACTCACCAGCGGGGACCAGGAGGGCAGCGGCGGAGGGCTCGGAGGAGCAGGGCCAGACGAGTCCCCGGGCCAGCCTGCCTGCCACTTCCTCATCTGCTGGGCCGACTTTCTGTCACCGGGGGGCGGGGGCGGGCCGGCGGGGGGGCGCCTGCTGATTGGGCGGCCGGCCGAGGAGAAGGGCAGTCCAGCGCTGCTCGGCCGCGGGGGCGGGGGCAGGGGCGGGCCACGCGATCCCGGGGCAGGAAGCGGCCCAGCCCCGGCTCCCCACCCTTTCCCTCCCATCTCTCCGGCTGCGGGACCGGGTGGTTGCGGCCTGCTCTGTCTGGGGAGCACCCTGCTTCTCCCTGACGCCCAGCCTTCGATGAACCTACTGTCCGCCCTATGACCGGTCCACCAACAGGACCCACGCATCTGCTGTCTGAAGCAGCCCAACCTAGGCCTCGGGGGACGTTCCAGGGTTGAGGCCTCCCTCAAAGAGACCCCTCTCCAGCGAGGCGAGCAAGGCCAGGCCAGGGACAGAGAGGGCCAGCTGCGTGCGAAGGGCTGAAGGGTGGCTGGGAGGACTTAGCCGGAGGGAGCAGCTGGCCACCGTTGCCTCCGCTCTCAACCTATAAAATTGGTTGTGCCTCAGCATTTAAGAGCTGCCTCCGGGAGAGGATAGCCTTCCACGGAGAAGGAGGTGGGAGAATACCAGTGGCCCGGGCAAGAACAGTGAATCACTGGCTAACTGGCCTTCAAAGTAATGAAAAAGAAAAAAGGAGTTGAGGCTGTTGATTGTGGCTGAATGTAGCAGGTCTTGAAGGCCAAATGGGGCAGTCTGATTTTTATTCCAGAAGCAGAAGAGAAACTGAAGATTTTAAAGGAGGCTATAATCGGGCTTGTATCATTCATCCATCACTTATTGACCGCCTACAATGTCCAAGACTGTATTAAATTCTAGTGACCTCTTCCCTGCACTCGGAGCTTAGGTGCTGAGGGTGCTGCAGGGAGATGGGAGAGAGACAACAGAAGAGCAAAGGAGGAAACAGGTAGGCTTGCCAGAGGTGATGTGGAGGTTTCCTCCAGGTGTAGTATTTAGTTGTCAATTCTCGATTGCCCTGCCCTTACCTCCATGTATCTACCAACTAGACTGAACTCTGGGGGCAAGGACCAGGTTTCTGTGAAGTGAAACCTCTACTTCCAGCAGCTCCTGGAACAGTGCTTTGCATACAGTGATCCAATAACCGCTGGTAGGATGGGATGGTGTGAGGGCAGACAGAGTGAGGGGATTCAGAAGAGGTAGTGGCTGGGAGGAATAATATGTGCATAAATGGTGGGACATAGTTTCATCCTAGAGCTTAAGGAAGAAGTCAGAGCCAAACTACAGCTCTGATCCAGCCCATTAGTACCTGCCCTTGAAAGGAAATGGGAAAAGAATCCAGCTCAAAAGCTCAGTCCCTTTAGCATTGCATGCTAAGCCCCTACCTGATCCAGTTCCTACCTATTCCTTTCATCCTACCAGTGTCACTGTCCTGGGCCACAGCCTGAGCATTAAGCATCTCCCAAGGGGGTCAGCGTCTTTTGCCATCCCCCAACCCTCAGTCCTTACCCTGGTTCAACACAAGGCACAGCAGGGCTCTCAGGCAGTAAGTCACTGCCCCCAACTATGAGCTCTCTCAGCAAGGGCCATATTTTAGTCTATATCTGACAGCAGCTGATCTTCTACAGCGTACTGAGTGGATGTTAGTGTGAATGAAACAGTGTGAGAAAGAAAAGAGATCAAGGGACCCAAAATAAAGACAAAGTTTGAAGGTTATTTCACTTCCCTCTTGAGCAGTATTTATTGAGTCAATCAATATTTATTAAAGGTTTCATGTCTTCCAGGAATACTCTAGTGGCCTTGAGGCCATACTTGACTGCAAAGTCCTAAGTTTAAATGTTTTAATGAGTAGCTATGTGACCTTATATAACTTGTGCGACCTCTATAAAATGGGAACAGTAATAGTAACTGTCCCATAAAATTATTGTGACAACTAAAGGAGATAAACCAAGTAAAGCACTTAGCATTGTCTCACAACATTTAATAGGCCAGGAGAGGAAACCACCTAGTATATTAAGGTACATACTTGTATGTGCGTGAGTGTAACAGATATCTCCTACACACTGTGTACAAAGCACAGACTCCACTACAAAGACTATTATAGATGATGAAATTGCCTCAGAGACCAAATACAGTAGTAACAGGAAACTATTAATTGATTCACCTGGACCACATTGATAAATGACCCCAGCAAGCCCTCAGGACATGTTGACTAATTAAATGAATATGTGCAAAGTACCTTGTTCAGTTCTTATCCTGATCCTAAACTAAAGCATCTTCAGATATGATATAGAGCCAGGTCCTACCAAATGATATCTTCATGGCGCTGAAGTTCCTCCAAAACACAGTCTAGTGGAGAAGACATAAATGAACAATTATAGTAGCATGTGGTAAGTACTGCACTAGAGACAAATCCAGAGGGTTATGAAAGCATTGAGGGTAAAGAGCTGCTTTAACCCTGGAGGAGGGTTAATTCTTTTGTTTTTGTTTTTCTTTCATTAGAGTCTTACTTTGTAGTCCATGCTCGTCTTGGACCTGTGGCAATCCTCCTGCCTCAGCCTCCCAAGTGCTGGGATTACAGGCGTGTGTCACCATGCCCAGCCCAAGAGAACTCATTCTTCAGAGTTTCACAGAAATGACACCTAAGTTGAGCATTAAAGGACACTTTCTAGAAGGCAGGGGGAATCACCACCTGTATGAACCCAACTAGTTCTATTGTGATTATTTGAGGCTCTGTCTTGGCATAGGAAGGAACCATATGTATGAGGGCACAGAAACAAAAGATGTGGCAGGTTGGTATGGGTGACTCCAGCTCAAGGGGCAGATGTGGAAAGGCAGGAAAGGTAGGCAGGAGTCAGCTTATGAAGAGCCTTGTAGCCATGGTCAGAGGTTTGGACTTTATTCTGTTTATACTTTTCAGCCCTGGCTGTACACTAGAACCATTTGGGCAGCTATGTGTCTGTGTGTTACTGGGAGTTAAACCCAGGGCAAGCACTCTACCATTATGCTACCTCCCAACCCCTTTCTATCTGTTTACTTTGAGACCAGGTCTCACTGAGTTGCCCAGGCTGGCCTCCAACTTGAAATCCTCCTGCCTCAACCTTCCAAGAAGCTAGGCATGTGTCACCAGGCCCAGAACTTGGGGGAGATTTTTAAATACTAGTGATGCCAGGCATGGTGGTACATGCTGTAATCCCAGCACTTGGGAGGCCAAGGCAGGAGGATCACCATGAGTTTGAGGTCAGCCTGGGCTACATAGTGAGCTCTGAAGAGTGAAAACTTCCCCTTAGTCAGAAAGTGAGGCATTGGCTGAGCAGGAGGGGTGGTGGGGAAGTGGTAAAAGTCTGGCGTATCAACTTTTTGGCAGGCAGTAGGCAGGCTGAGATGATGGCCCCACTGCTGGGGCCAGGAGGGGTCATGGTCCCCAACAGTGCAGGAAATGGATCTGGTTGGGATCTGCAGGAAAGCTAGGCGAAGGCCTTGGAGGCAAAAGTTTAGGGAAGGCTGGGTAGAAAGAAAACCAAACAAAACAGGCTGACAAACTAGAGAAACTGAAACCACAGGCTTCATAAGGATGAAGGCCTTGAGGAAAGGATATCCAGTCCAACAGCTAAAATTCTACCTCCTTCATGGATCCTCCCTGGTTCACAGGAAGTAAGGTGCTAACTTCCCCCGGTCCCACCCTATCTGTCTCATGCTTCACTCACTGCTCTCCATGGAGCGCTATCCTCTCCCCAGAAGACAAACCAGTGATGTCTTTCTCCAAGGGTCCAGCCTGAGCACCACCACCTGCATGAACTCTACTAACTCAAGTCCCATGATTGTCTGAGGCTCTGTGATTCAGCACAAAAATTAAATGTTAGTGGGACCAGAAGTGGCAGTGAGGAAGAAATGCAAAAAGGTATGTCTGCATTTTCACGAACGATGGAACGGTGGAGGAAATAGAGCATGGGACTCATAGGGCAGTTAGGTCTGAGCATCAGGAAGTGAGGTCTCAGGTAAAAGGCAGGAGGAGTAGCAGGGAGAGACAGAAGCAGCCTCCTGCGGGCTCCTTCCATCCTTTAAAGGCAAAGGGCACTTCCTACACTGTACCCAGACAGAGGACCTGATGAGAAGATTGAGCCCATGAGCACAGAGGAGTGAAGATAAGGTTGAAGGTTTGCCAGTTAATCATTCTGCCCATCTCTGGGCCTCAGCCAGGTAGCTAATGTCCTCTTCCTAAAGCTGGCTGAAGGGGCCAGGGCTGGAGACATGTGGCTGCCAGGAGAGACTGATACGTATGCTCATCTGTTATCTGGAATCCCACTCATCTGGAAGAGTGAGGAACGAGACCTGATCCATGCTTGGTGGCCACAGCCATACACCATAGGTTATCATTTAGTGTCTGCTGAACTGCAAAACTCAGGAAAGGAGAGACTGTGCTAGGACCTGCAGGAAGAGCTCTGGAAAGAGAAAAGGGAGGCTTTCTTAGGGAACAAACCCAAGCAGGCTATCAGGAAGAAAGAAAGACAGACAGCAAGATACAGAAGGTACAGTTTTTGTTTTGTTTTGTTTTGTTTTTTTGAGATAGGGTCTCACTATGCAATTTAGGCTGGCCTTGAACTCACTATGAAGCCCAGGCTGGCTTCAAATTCACAGCAATCTTCCGGCCTCAGCCTCTTGAATGCTGAGCTTATAGGCATGGACCATCATACCTGAGTATTTTTGGTTTTGTTGTTTGTTTGTTTTTAAATGAAGAATTTAAGGCCGGGCATGGTGGTTCATGTCCATAAGTAATCCCAGTACTCAGGAGGCTGAGGCAGGAAGGTTGCTGTGAGTTCAAGAGCAGCCTGAACTGCAGAATGAAACCCTGTCTCAAAGACCTAAACGGCTGGGGATATAGCTCGGTGGCACAAGTGCCTACCTGGCAAGCGTAAGGTCCTGAGTCTGATTCCCAGTACAAAAAAAAAAAAGGCATAAATAAATAAATAAATGTGAGGAATTTAGTTTGTATAGGCATGTCCTGAAGATGCTTGAGTAGAAAGTTGATATAATCCCCA